TCTCATTCATTTTCCCGTCGATCATGAAATTTTTAGAGCGGAACAATTAGTTTCCAGGCGGTCCGAGCGGTTTTCGTGAGAAGGGTGCAAAAATCGGCGTCATTTTTAGAGCCTCGACACCAGCTCAACACAGGACCCTATGGGAGACGGTGAAGTAGCGGGAGCAATAAATAGAGCGCTCTAATTTTAGCTTATTTCCCTGGTGTGTCACCGACTGGAGAGAGAGAGAGAGAGAGAGAGAGAGAGCGAGAGAGAGCGAGAGAGAGAGAGAGAGGGCAAGAGAGAAACCAGGCAGGCTAATTATAACTAGCTGGTAGATACATGGCAAAAGTTGAAAAGGTACAGTCAAAATTATTCATGTAAGTAGCATGTTTACAAACGCACACATAGCCACCAGTGGTGGAGTGGCAGAATGAGAATCAGGGCCGAGGGCTCCTCCTTTCCATCCATAACGCCACACTAGTCACTACACGGATAATATTTATGTAACCACGCCTAAAAGGCATTTAATATCACTGATGTTATTGCTAAGAAAAATTTGGAGCAAGCATCACTTGTACTTACCAACAAGACGTCACACGCAGCACAGACACGACCTCCCTGGATCGCACAAAGATGGCGACTGAGGCCCACGCGGCGCTGCATTTGGCGCGAAACTGAACCGAGTAAGTTAACAACCCACAGTGTTAATTGGTGTTAATGTCCCTCAAGATCGCGGCCCAAATAACCCCATTCGGCTTTTTAAACTCGACGCAGAGGGGTAAAACACGGCAACGTGTCATTCAACACGGTAGAACCGTGCGCAAGAATGCTTCCACAAAATCGTATTCGTGTTTCGGAACACAGTGTCCGCCAATTGCGGGTATGAATACATGGCGATTACTCGAACAGTGTCAAGCTCAGGCTACACTATCAGCGTTTTTTCGGTTTCTGCGTGATTTCGGTTTCCGCGTTTTTACGGTTTCTGCGTTTTTTCGTTCCGGGCGGCCGCCGCGTGGACGGTGTTGTTTATAGCATAGTGATGGATAAGTTATCAAATTAATTAACTATTCATGTTAAATATTATCATGTTTTAACAAAATTATAATTAAATAATTGTTTTAAAGATTTTACAGCAAACAAGAATATATTTTCGATCATAATCATTTGTCAGCTTAATTACAATTATCATATTTGAAGCAGAATGATGAGTTTTTAAACACATCTTGCCTTCTTTAATCATGAATTACACCATTTTTATTATTCACATTTGAAACTGTTCCATCGTCACAATATTATTAGCAACAATCACTTCTAATCATTCATCACTAAAACGAAATCCCGCAGAAACCGAAAAAAAGTTCACAGCTCTGAACTTTTTTTTCGGTTCCGACTCGTCGGTTTTTGCGGGTTTTCGTTCCACGGGACGCCAGACTGGCAGTGTAGCTTGCGCAATGCATTCGCTATGAGGCGAACTTGACGACGCGAACCGAAATCCCGCAGAAACCGAAAAAACGTCGGAATTCATGCTAGTGTAGCTTAGGCTTCATTGTACATGGGGATTCCGAGCTAGTTCATCCTGATTTGGACTAACCGTGTTTTGCTTCGCAATAAGGTTTAAATTACTCGATAAATACGGATTCATTAGCAAGTTAGTTGTTTGAACACATCGTTAAAGTGAGTCAGAAAACTCAAACTGTGCTAACATTTTTTACAGTGTAGACGGAGCGGTAGGGATGTTTTGCTGGTCGACCCGCCGGGAAGGGGCCCGGGTACGTTCTGCTTTACTGCGGTACAGAGAGGAGTATGGGCAGCTCTCTGGACCGTGAATGGATGAGTATGATGGTAGATATGTTGTCTTTGCTTAGTGGGAGCTGGTGGCGTCTGTATTGGCTATCTGATGATACACAAGGCTGCATGTGTCTTGCTACAAAGCGACAAAAGAGGTTTGCTCCTGTAGTTTCCTGTAAGGTGTCATGTGACAACAGAGAACTTGAAGAGCTGTCAGCGGGTACTCTGGTTTGAAACACTTCCGGCGATGACATGACACGGCCATTGTCTGTCGTGTCCGATAGGTACGGCGACAGATCCAGTGGTACCTTTATGGAGCTGCACTGTAAAAAAAGTTTACCAACTAGTTAGTTATCCGGCCACTTTTCACTAACCATAGGCGTGTAAGCAAAACACGCATTTCATGACTAAGTGTGTTTTCAATTACACGCAAAAGGTTGAATAGCGTGTTTTGAAACACACCTCCTAGTTTTCGAATATTTGCCAGGTTACTAAGATAAGCCGTGTAAGCGTGTTTATTGACTATCATCGGTGTGTTTTGTTAATAACTACAGACGTGTTAGGTAACACATGTGTTTGTCACACGGCCACTTTTCACTAGCTATATGCGTGTACGCAAAACACACATATTGCGTGTTAGCTAACTAAGCTGTGCGTGTTAATAAACTAAATACATTTTTGAGAACAGGCGTGTAACTTAACTAATGTGCGTGTTAGTCACCTCTTTTCACAGCCGCCCCCCCCCCCTCCAAAAAACGAATCGAATTAAACTCATCAAACATGTTTATTCAAAACTGCATTCAAGCTCCTTTCAGCAAGCTTACAACTGCATACAGTAATATTTCTCTTATTGTACTAAAAATGAACCTAAAATATATATATATATATATATATATATATATATATATATATATATATATATATATATATATATATATATATATATATATATATATATATATATATATATATATATATATATATATATATATATATATATATATATATATATATATATATATAGCCTGCAGGAATCCGCACCAGACATGACACCATACAGGCTCCAAATACCTATTACGAAAACATTGAGAATGCTTCATTTCTGTCGATATGGGCAAACTAAATTGCAACAAAAGGGCAAAAATTCCCTGACCGAACCATGGTGGCTCATGTGTCTACAAAAAAAAAATTATTTGACAACATGGCTGCAGTGACAGGAATTGCATAAAACAGCGCCTCACCGCGTTCACTGGTTGAGTGCCCAACCAAAAATTAGGTACATTTAATTTCTTGTTCAAAGCTTAATGCGGTTTTAGTGTGCAACATGCTCATTGTTCAGTCCGTCATATGTACTTATAGACGTCAATTGACAGTCAACAAATGAACAGTGTCTCCAACCTGAGACCCTCTAAAGCCTGGTTGGAGCTTCATTTGAAAAGAAAATGAGTGACATACATAAACCACACTAAAACGCCAGCAATATCTCCACTGATCTTTCCCATAATCACTCACCATACCAGTAAGGATGAAAGCCATGTCCAACAATCCATATCATTTCACTGTTTGACTTCTTATTATTCGTATTCGGGTTATGTATCACCACAGTATCACCACTTCTGCATCACCACAGCAGCTCCTTATACTGCACACGCAACACTTATACGCCACAGCTCAGCTCCTTCACAACGCACGCGTCCTCTCCCTTCTCTGACTTGGCACAGACTGAACAATGGCGGGCGCAGAGGGGCGCACAAAATGGCGATTTTTTCAATTAACTAAGGTCTTTGTAATGCTACAACAAAAAGGGTAGTAAGAAAACTAAGATTGTGAGTAACAACATGCGTTTGATTTGTTAGTTAACACGTTACCCAGAAAAAAAGGCAAAGGAAGCATAAACAAACATGTTTGTCAAATAACACGGCATGGTTTGCACGGATAATATTTGTCGGCTTACAATGATGTTAGCTTTTCTGCTTCGATGAAATGGATGTGGTGTTAGGTTGCAAACATATGTGTTACCTGACCCGTTTTTTGCAACAACGTGTGTTTTAATACTAGATTTTGCTTGAAGAATTAACTAACTGGTTTGTTAGCATTTTTTACAGTGTGAGATCATGTGGGTGGAACCGTGCGACAGGCTCGCGTCCGTTTGAGTGGATGTATGCTTGTTCATATACATACATTACTTTATATGCTATCTTACATTATATTCCGGGTGTGGGAAGGCCTCATTTTATCAAGCGCAAGTTATATGAGTACTAGCAAAATAAATATGCAAGGCAATAGTACAACTTTAGCTTCCAATCGCTATAGCTGACAGTGGAACTTTTCTCGAAGAACAACACTTGTATTTTCCATACCGACTGATTACCGCCGTAGGTAGGCTGTTTTCTAGACGATCGTTATTCTGAGATTTGTTTTGGCACTCAGAAGTGCACTTCACTGTAGCCAGTCACCAGCATTCTAACGGCCAATTTCGGGCATCAAACGAGATCCAATGGTAAAAGTAAAAAGAAATGTTCCCAACCTGGCTGCACAATAAGCTTTTGTTTTTGCACTGAAACCCGGAAGAAAAGCCGTTGAATTTGCGTGAATATACTGACGGATCATGTATCATATCAGACATTGGATACTATCACTGTGGTATGTTGTTGTCTGACGTAAAATACTACTCTTTTGATGTATTGAATGCACCAAAATTGGTCCCCAGTGCTCTTCCGGTAATGTAGTGTGACTCGCTGAACCGCAATACTCAGTACAACACATCCTGAACATCAGTTCAATTATAGCATTACCTGCCATTTGAAGATATACGATTGATGCACACACGATTTATCAACATCAGTGGCTTAAACTGTGGTTTTTCAGTGGACTGATTCTCCGAATGTTTTGTGTCGATTATCATGCACCGTATGCCGTACGGTACGGGTACATTTCGCTTTAATTACATTTGCTGGTTTGTTCCTGGTTTACCGCAATATGATGGCCTTGCCTAGTTATGTAACCCTGCAAACGCAAGGCCTTGGCTGACAGTTCCGGCCACCCCGACTGGCCTATCCGTTCATGGTTCCCCACAGTTACAGCTGACTGGAGTGAAGCCATGCAGGCCTTCATATGGTCCAAGGCGATTCAAACCCCCGCTCGAGAAAGACATGCGGAACATCAGTAGGATGTTCCAAATTAATTTTCTGGTGTCAAAAGAGGTAAAATGAAATTTCATTCTTCGAACTATGTTAGGAGACACAGCATCGATCCAACAACGGGTCAGCCTACTGGCGCTCTACCTGATCCTGCTTCTACTGCTTCCCTCAACGTCTGCTGTTCCCGCACCGTCTAACCTGACCCGTTCTTCATTTCAGCTGATCGGCGACACGAAGCAGACGGTGCAGGACCTGATCTCGCACGTGCTGCTTGAGTTTCACGTGCAGGAGCCCGTGCTGCGGCTGGGCGACTCCCTGGCGGAGGCGGACCCAGACGCCGAGGCGGCCCTTCTCGAGGGAGAGACTCTGATCGTGGAGGAGGGTCGGGTGCAGCACCACCCGCGCGCCGGTGAGTACCGGTCGTCACCCCATATGCCCTTACATTTCTTTTTAATTTCTCTCTGCTCTGTTCTCTTTATTTTGCTTCGTAGTGCGCGGCGACTGCTGCTGGCGCCTGGCGCTTCGATTCTCCCTCGTCTTTTGTGCTCAGGTGCATCGTTGAAGGTCACGCTGCAGTCATTCGGCGTCATTATTTTCCTGACCTGCCCATAGTGTCCAATCCTTGATCTGAGGCTGTTGGCAAGGCGACAAGTGGCCCACAGGCCGCCCCGAAAAGGTTATTTTGAAAGGTCACGGATTGAATGTACCGTCCGGATAAGGATGTCCTTGAATAATTTAGCATAGTGTTATTCGCAGGGATTTATCTTATGTTAACTATTGTAGCATGCACCAGTAGTCCTGGGCCTCGTTTCATAAAGCGAGTCCGTAACTTACGCCGGTTTTTGGGCTTCCTCATGAGACAACCCTTCCTCATGGCTTATGTCGGGTGACACTGCCGACTGTACTTTTACAATAGGTACATACAAAAACACACTGAATATTTTGCAGTTTAGTTTGAAATGCCATTACCTACAGCCGACCGACACAGGAAGTGGGTGTTTTCGATTGTAGGAGGTGTTTCTGCAGAATTGCTCGGTTTCGTGCCGATTTGTGCATTGAGGCCGGATCGGATCTGTCTTGTCTGTCAGCCCGTGTCACCGGTAATTGGGTGTCAACCCGTTGTGCAACGACTGATTGGCCAGTCAGCGCTACTGCACTGCACGTGCAGGCTGACAGTGGAGCACGACGTAATTTGTAGGGGAGGAGCCGCTCGCCGGGACTGTTGATGGCCGTCTCCGGCGGAGGTGTGGCCGACCAGGTGTCCTCAGCTCTTATTCTCCATACATCAGTTTAAGAGGCACCGGGAGCTGTCGTGTGCTGCTCGGAAATGCTGGGAGGAAAGGTGCCATGCTTTGGTGGTGAATGTTCAAATCTGGTGTGTAAAGAACAGCTGCAACCTCTTACCTCGATCTTGAAATTTAGAAAGCTGTGCTTTGTTTGACGTTGCACAATACAGATATTTTATTCTTATCGCTTTACTGCAAATTACTAATGCATAGGTACAGATTGAAATCACTTTCCTTTTAGGCCATGGGCGATAATAAAAATATTTCGATGAGCAAATCTCCCCCACAGTTTCAGAAGCATTCATCCCCTGAATTTTATGATCCAGCAATCAGGACGTTGGACAGAGAACACCTGCAAGGATAGGTTTAGATTTGACCCAAATAACTGAGTCATGAAGCTGTCAAGATTGCTACTGGCTACTCTCTCTGAGATGTGGCTATTTTTTCGGTAGCTGCCAGACATAAGCATCGTGCTTCTGGCTAGGTTTATTGAGTTCCGAAACAAGAAAGGTTTGATTTTTCAATTGGTTATGATTTGGTTTCGTCACCAAGTGCACTGTGCTCGCATCATTCGCCTTCAGGAACATGTTGAATGTCGATTATTAGTTGCTTTTTTACGTTTCCAACAGTTGGCATATGTGAGCAAAAGCGTGCTATCGTTTACTTCGCGGAAAGCCTGCTCGCTGATATAACATTCAAATTTTGAATATTTTTGAAGGTTTAAATTTTTAATCCGTCTCATTATCTTTCAATCATTACGCTATCATTAGCGTCGTTCGGGGTCTTGGCGCTGCCTTTCAAGATGTTTATCCCTCACAGAGACAGTCCATGAGCTGAGCTGGGCTCCCGCACGCAGCTGTGCGACCAGGGATCATTGAAAGAGATGTCACCAGTGACGATCTTTATTACCGACCCGTGAAAACTAGCTGGACGTCCCATTGAACTCCACCCCAGTGATCATGTCCACTGACATGACATATCACATTGGGTGCCCGGGTCACGATGTTACAAACCACCCACAATATGTACGCCGCTCCGTGGCCTGTAATATTCATAAACCGAACATGACTGTATGGCACATTAGTGGACTGGACCGGTGACCCCGGGCCGTGGGGCTATTCACATGTTCCACCCCTGCATGTCCTAATGCATTCTACGGCCGTGGGTGTTCGTTGCAGCCCCGGCGGCGCCCCGGGCTGCGTCCTTATGAGGGTACTGCGGTGGCTAGGCGGACCCATGTGGCCTGGCGGGGCACGGGGAGCGTGTGACCGGCGCACGTTCTGCTGGGGTCCGTCGGCTGCCAGCCGGTCAGTGAAAACGGCACGGAGGCACCGACGGCATCACGGCGGCAGATTTTTTTAGTAACACTTGCCGGCGTCCGACGCCGCTCGGCTGCTGTTTCTCCACGCCGTGTCTGGCGGACCCCGTCGTCCACGAGTTGTGGGGTCACCTGAGCACGGCGCGGACCCATTCCCGGCGGCGCAGTGGCATGCAAATGCTGCTCGCCGAGCTCCGGAGGTGGGTGATTTACCAGATGCTGCATTTAGCCGGTAGTTAACCCGGTGACAGTGCTGTGAATCGAGACTCCGAGGGCATGCTGGGTCCGGGAAGACCGCTTTCAGTCGACGGAGAGTCCAGGTGGCCACTTCCCAGTCAGCAACCATGTCGAGTCCTCATCGCCTTGGCGTCTCGATTTCGGCGAGTTTGACCACTTTTTGTCTCTCCGTGGCAGTGATCGGAGTTGGTGACCAATTACCAAATGCCTGTAACTGGGGGCAGCTCGCGGCTGACTTGGTGATGGTCTGATAAAACTCGAGACTGGCGATAGAACGGCGCTGATGGGCTGCATGCCTAAGATGCCGATCGGTAGCCGGGAACTACCATCGGCTCCCCGGGGCAGACGGCAGGTAAAAGTGAATGGCCGCACTGAAGGTGAATCGTATACGCCGACTCTGGATGGCGGCAGGGATCCGAGCCCGCAAACGGTGTCACCATTGACCCATGTGAGAAGGTCTGGAACGTTAGGCTGACGGCTGGATTGTTTATAAGTCGACTTCCGTTTTGCTAAGTGGTGCACGTTGTCGTTGTGGCTGATAACGTGTACTTAGCACCGTATGATTGGGCGATCAACGCTGGATATAGACTTCCGGAACAAGTGTGTCTGTGAAATTCACTTAACAAACGTGTGCTTATTCCTGGGCTCAATAGCACTTTGTTATTGTATGTGACTTATATTTCATAATCAAGTAACGAACGACTATTTTCACAGGAGCCGACGTCGCTCTTAATGCAAATTCCACTACAAGTAAACATGCTAATCTTACTCATTTACAATTTGCTTGATATACAAGACTAGAAAAGCACCACCTAAAGCCACCATGTGTTATGTCCTGACACTTTTCTCAAGGTCCGGAAGAAAGTTTTCTGTTGGTCGTCATTTCATTATTCACCTCAATACGATTAGGGGAAATTCAGACTGTAGTAGCGGAAGGCAATGCTTGCTTTTGTATTCCATACACAATCACACTCACTGAAATCGAAAACGAATGATTTTCCACGTCAAAATGGATAACGCTCCATGTGGAATGTGTCTATAATTAATAGAAGCTCAGATAACTAGGTACTCGGGAGGTCAGATAGTACAAAGACAGAATCATTTCGAATATCACGATGCGCACCATACCGTAGAATAAAAAAGTATTTAGAATCAGAAATGGTTCGTCGCAGTGGATGTCGATATTTACACCTGTTTTCATTACTAAAATGTCATATTTGTTTGTTTTTTCTCAATATTTTTCACTTTTGATGCTAAATGGGATAGGCCCTATAGTAACACCATTGTTGCAACGATTCACTCCGGTATATCGATTTACATTGCCCGTGAGCTGATCATCTCACAAATCCTTGTCATCTCACGTGGGTTTGGAGTAGAGTCCTTTATCCATACCGAAGTTCACCGACTCCACCGACTCCGTTCGATGTAGCTCTAATTCAGTAGGTGGAACTATGGTCATTAGTACCCAAATATAGGAACGTTCCCATTTTTGGGAACGGAGTTCCCAAATATGGGAACGGGCGTTCCCATTTATGAGAACGGAAGGTAATTTTTCGGCCGTACGCCCACTAAAACTCAGAAGTGCACCACGTCTCAAAAAAGTGCACGCTAATTTAAGTATCTACTGAATCTCTATGAAATTATCTTTAATCTGACCGTGGAACAAGGAAATTGACCGTCGAATGATATTTTTAATGATTTTTTGAAATGACGGAATGGTGAAAACATGGGTTATACTACATTTAACATGCAATTTTAAGGAAAATGAAGCGTTTTTACATTTTGAGGTCAAGTATAATAATTTTCGCCTGGTTATGAAGTTTCATACTAGCGACACCAGGTGCTGACATATGCAAGCGAACACGCGGACAGTCCCGAGGTAATATTGTTGACTTTTGGTGTCGGGGCGCACGACCGCGTGGAACGTCAGTGATTTTACCGAACTACTGTTGTAAACTCAGTTTCAGTGGTTTAAAATTATTCAGCTGTATTTTATCAGCCCGGAAAGACATATTTTATTTAGATGCTAGCTGTTTAGCGTTGTTTTATAAGGAGCGTCATGAGCGTGGTTTTTGTCTTCCGTGTTTCTAAGCATGATCGTTTTGGGGGGATTTCTCTTACATAGGTCGCTCTGTGTGGCTTATTTATAATTTTAATGCTGATTTCGATCATTCCTCGTACCCATCCTACCAGGCCTTTTGCCACTTACACTCATTAAGAAAGGAAAAAACTAGATTTTCATTGGGACTAGGTGTTTTGAGGGTGTAACATATTCAGCGTTCCCATTTTTGGATACTTCCTTGTGCTCGTCAACTATCGGTGATAAACAGACAGGTGCTTGACATGTCTCCACCCTCGGCGCGGACGGTGGATATAGGTATGGAAGACCTTGTTGAACATCGCTGAGCGTTGTGAATTACGTAATCCTGCAGAGGGGGGCGTGCCCGCTGCGAGATCGACGGGAATAAAAGCGCAGAAGACCGGGCGAAACATGCGACGGTCTTGCCGGAAAGGTCATCTGATGATTGTTGTGTTAACAATGATTTGCGGCGTTGGACGTGATGCTTG